GGAGGTGGGCCCGGCCATAGAGGCACCCCAGCCCTGGGGCAGGAGAGGCTCCCAGCCCAGAGCCCTAGGGCTAGCCTCAGACCAGCCCCCTAGTGACAGGGCTGATCTGGGAGAAAATTTGCTCCCAGGTCATGTCTACATATGCATTACTGTGCAGTAACTAATCATGAGTAAATCTGATACCTGCAGTTGCAGACATCAAATTTACTCACGGTTAGGGGTTTTTACTGAACAGGAAGCGTGCACACATGTAGATGCACTCACTTCCTGCGCAGTAAACTATGGTACTGTGCAGTTAAGTGTCTCATGTAGACAATATGTGCCCATATTCATGTGCTCCTTTGATATGGAGATGCTTGCAAATTAATATACCTTTTGTAGAGGTACTTTATTAACTCTAATACGATCAAATTTGAAACAGATTAAACCCACAGTTTGAGTCTGTAGCAATATATGATATATATATTCATTCATTAATTTCTTCTATCGGTAAATGGAATAGAAATTTTTGTTAAAAAGAAGATAGGAAGTGAAACATAGCTGCTCCAGTTGAGCTACAAGGGGAATTCAAGTAGGCAGGACATACATGACCTGGAACATTGCTAGAACATTTTTGCGTAGTGCCATGTGAAGTTGTCATTCCCACAAAGAGCCAGCATTTTTATTAACCTCCTTTGCTTTACTTCTGAAAAGAGAGAAATTCATTGCTTAACAAGATATATTTGCATAAATAAAAGACAACACCATAACTTCTTTGGCAAAGAGGTCTTTGTTAGCTAAATTCTGCCCTGTTACATTGCTGGAAACTGAAAGCAACTCCTCACTAAATTCAACAGTGTAACTGAAATTTTACTTGTAGCTGAGAGCACAATATGATTCTTTGTCTATGGTGGATGGTCCCTGTTCTGCAATTCAGGATCAAGGTGAACGAATATATCTATGAACATAATGAGGAGGGCGATCCAGGCTGACCTGGACAGGCTCAGCAAATGGGCAGATGAGAACCTGATGGTGTTTAACACTAAAAAATGCAAGGTTCTCCACCTTGGGAGGAAAAACCTGCAGCATCCCTATAGGCTCAGCAGTGCTACACTGGCTAGTACTACAGAAGAAAGAGACTTGGGGGTCATCATTGACCACAAGATGAACATGAGCCTGCAATGCGATGCTGCGGCTAGTAAAGCGACCAAAACGCTGGCTTGCATCCAGACATGCTTCTCAAGCAAATCCCGGGACATCATTCTCCCCTTGTACTCGGCCTTGGCGAGGCCTCAGCTGGAGTACTGCATCCAGTTTTGGGCTCCAAAATTCAAAAAGGATGTGGAGAAGCTTGAGAGAGTCCAGAGAAGAGCCACGCGCATGATCAGAGGTCAGGAAAAAAGACCTTATGACGACAGGCTGAGAGCCATGGGGCTCTATAGCCTGGAAAAGCGCAGGCTCAGGGGTGATCTGATGGCCACCTATAAGTTTATCAGGAGTGACCACCAGGATCTGGGGGAATGTTTGTTCACCAGAGCGCCCCAAGGGATGATGAGGTCGAACGGTTATAAACTACAGCAAGACCGTTTCAGGCTGGACATATGGAAGAGTTTCTTTACTGTCTGAGCCCCCAAGGTCTGGAACAGCCTGCCATCGGAGGTGGTTCAAGCACCTACATTGAACACCTTCAAGAGTAAATTGGATGCTTATCTTGCTGGGATCCTATGACCCCAGCTGACTTCCTGCCCTTCAGGCAGGGGGCTGGACTCGGTGATCTTCTGAGGTCCCTTCCAGCCCTAATGTCTATGAAATCTGAGTTAAATTTGGAAAATAGTTTAACTTGTTCAAGATGGGGACATTTTCAAAATGGTGGTGGTCATACACAGTCAGAACAAAGTGTCATGATTTTTAGGCCTTGGGTGTCCACAGTTTCTGGTGAGGTAAGTAGGGGGCATTGCTTAACTAGTAGTCTGATTTCTAAGGATGAGTGCCTCAAATCTGGTGATAGCTCAAATACTATTTTAAAGTGTTATAAAATACTTGAATAGACAGCTTCTACCAGTTTTCAGCTTTTAACTGTAATGCTACGGAGAGAAGTTACACATAAACTGGTTTAAGTGATTGGAAACTGGTTTAAACCTGTAACAGAACAGCAGCTCAGTGCACATGAACTGCTTTCAAAATGGCCCAAACCAGTTTAAGATAAACCTGGTTGGATATAGTATCAGACTTAACTGATTTAGGTCATCCTGGTTTATGGAACTTCTGTTTCCTTCTGGTGGAAACGTCTGCTTCCTTCCTGCCTTTCCTAATTGAAAACTGAATGTCACTTCAGTTGGTTATTGCTTCAACCTACTCAGTTTAGAGGAAGCTGCCTAGATTGAATCGATTCTGCCTCAGGCTTCTTGACTGTCTGTACTTAGTCCAGATGTTCCAGGTGAATGTTAACACAGCATCTCCATTCAAAACTAACTCAATATGGGTAACTATTCTTGGTTTACCTAAAGTCATCCTGAAATTTCAGTTGGATCAGATAATTTTCTTCATTTCCTGCCCTTAAATTCTTCCATAGCAATTTACTCACAAGTAAACTGGTGCTGCAGCAGATGCACATGTAGACGTGACCAGTGTGTGTGTACACACACACATATATATCACGTGTATATGTGTATCTATGCATACATATATACATACATATGTATATCATGTGGGAGTGTGTGTATACACACATATACTCTATCTACTTTATTAACTCTAATCCCATCAAATTTAAAACTGATTGAACCTACACTCTGAATCTGTGAGAATACAATAGATATGGATATAAATATATTCATTCAATCACTGAAAGTAAAATAACAATTTTATTAAAAAGAGGATCAGAAGTAGAGTATTGCTGCTCCATTTGAACTAAAAGAAACATTAAAGCAGTTAGAATGTCATACACAAGCTGGAACATTGCTAGAATATTCTTGTGTAGTTTGTGCATGCACATGTACTTGTGTACAAAGGAGCCACTGTTTAAAAAATGATGTTATGGCTTGATCCACTGTCCAGTGAAATCACTAGGGTTATTTCTGCACAGCACAGATACCCAAGGTATCACATGTGCACCCATGCTCTACCATGTGCTTTAGGACCCTTTGAAATGGAGATGCTTGAAAATTAGTGCTATTTTGTAAATGTACATTATTAACTCTAATACCATCAATATCAATTTAAATATCAATTTTAAACTGATCAAACCCACACTACTGATCTAGACTATGCCACTTACAGAAAACCATGTAAGCTAGGGTTCGCTGGAGAAAGGGAGAACTTCAGTTTCACCAAAAAAAGGGGGGTCTTCTCTCTGATAGTTGTAAAGAGGAACTTCAAAATGTGATGTAAATATAACTAATGTAGGCATGTCTGCTTCAGCTAACAGAAAAGTGGTAACAATCACTGTGAGCGCATCTACACGTGCCCCTATGGTGCTGTTCTTAGTGCGACATCATTTAGTACGTCCCTTTGGAAGTACTAAATGATGTCACAGTAACAGCCCGTACTGTGATGCGCTGGCAGCGCACAATTATTTTTAGATGCTATGTCGCCATAGCAATGTGCTATAATGAAGGAGTGCATTGCTACGGTGATGTAGCTGCAGCATCATGGTTTGTTCCCACCAACGCTATGTCACGGAAGCACGTTGCTACAGTGATGTAGCATCATGTGTAGATGTGCCCTGTTGGATGCAAATTGCCCCATTGATTTCACTGAGTGCTAATCCAGGTGTGTCTGCACTGTTAACTATTTCACCATTCTTGAAAACATGGAAGGAAACAGGGGAACCATCTTTTTATGAAGACTCTTATGAAGATTTTGATGAAGATCTGCACAGTCTCCTCTGTATGATCAGCCAGGTTGGCTTAAGCCAGTTACAAGCCCAGTGGCATGACTCACTTCATTTTCTGGAAGGGAAACTGAGCTCTCAAAAGTTTGGAGAGTACTGCAGCACAAGAACACTGTCTTGCCATGCTGTAGTCCAGAAATGCCTCCACTTCAGTGCTGGATGAATCATTTCTGTGTGGATTACATAAAACTGGGATAGTTGCAGTACAATAAAGGGAACAGTATTGTTGTTGAAGCTTTATAACTTTTCTTTGTTGCTGCTCTAATGTTGTCTGCTACTTGATTTTTAGGTTATCTAGAAGCCCGAGATTTGCCAAATCGTGGCCTTTATCCTTTTGTTCGGAGCCTCTTTTGTAATGTTGGCTCAAGGTGCAAGAACAGCAGTTATTCCACTCCAAAAAACAACAGTTTCCGGTAAGATGTACCAGTGTGTCAGGCTTCATGGTCAAAGTATCTTTTCCCCACAAAAGGTTCATTTTTTGTGTGTGGCTAGGAATGATAGGCATTTGACTGCTGCAGGCTAGATCACACTCTCCTTGGTATGCTGTTTGAGATGGAGAAGCAGAGCCAGCAGCAGGCCTGACCTTTCTGCCCTCTTACGAGTGCTTTTGCTCCCCAGAGTTAGCAAGTCCTCACAATACCTTTTCAAAGGGAATTTTCTGAGAAACTGAGGCAGAAGATGGTGAGGGATTCTCTGGCTTTGGTGCTGCTACATGGGAGAGAATTTACCCTTTGAGGGAGCTTCTGTGGGGCTGAACATAGAAGTGAGAACACCATTTGGGTTTCAGATATACAATGTGTTGGGTTTTAGATAGGATAGGCCTGGATCGGGCTTTCTGATATGGGGTGCAGAGAGAATGGAAGAAATCAGGGACACAATCCTTTGGGAGACCAATACAAAATTAGAAAAAGGAATAAGAGAAGCTACCGACATAGTCTCCAAAGAAATGGCCAGAGAAAACAAGCAAAACAAAGGTGAGTCAAGAAGACCAGAAAGGACCCAAGAGTTCAGCAATGAAAGAATGAACTAAAATAAACTTAAAACCTCTCTTGCTTTGGGAACAATTAAGTACGGTAGCAAACATGCAGTTCTTTCAGCTACTTTTAAAATGTTGGCAAGGATGGATAAATGTGAAGGCAAGTAAGCAGCATGCTCCCTTGATGATGGATGTAGTTGCATGCAGCCTATTTTCACGGTTCTATTCCAGGCAAACTACACAGTCAGTCGGATTAGAGACAATCAGTCAATGTGGATTTAAAGGGCTTAATAATCATAAACATAATTTGAAAGGGATGATGGACCTTTGTGTCGATCACATGTACAAATTTCAATATTGTAGCAATAAGTAGAGACCTACTCAGTTCACGATTTAATGGAAATCACGAAATCAGGCAGTCTGAGATATTGGGCAGTGTCCATGAAATCTGCCACCCCCCGCAAAAACTTAAAATACAATGCTGTCTCCCTAGTGGGAGCCAGCAGTCCTTATGGCTTCTGTAGCCTGACCACACAGCCTGAGGTGAGGAGGGTGGGGGGGCACTGAAGTGATGAAGAGCAGCTAAGATGATGGCTGCATCCCCCGCCGCTTGCTGCTGTTTGGCTGAGAGGGCTGCCTGTTGTGCAGCCCCATCCTTCTCCACCAATCAGTGATGAGTGGCGGGGCTGCATGCTGGGCAGCCCCCTTGGCTAATCAGTAGTGCAGGGTTGGGCTGCATGGTAGAGAGCCCTTTTGACCAATCAGCAGCAAGGGATGGGGCCACGGGGGCCCCCTGGCCCATCAGAGGCATGGGTGGGGGGCGCACCGCATGATAAGCCCACAAAATGGTGGCTGGTCCCATGATCTGCCCACAAATCGGCTGCCTGCCTCCTCGTCATGCCCTTAGCTTACTTTCTGTGTTATGTGCCACTGCATTCTAAATCATTTTAGTTCTCTGTATATGTCAATAAATATAATTTGCTCATACTGGTATTTGACTGGAGTGGTACATTCCCTTAGGTTGTATTATAAAATTTTATCTTAATTTATATGATTGCACAAACTGCTACTAAATTAAGGATGCACAGTGCACTGACAGAAGCTTTATTTTCTAAAGCAAGCAAGGTTTTCTCTGTCTCAAATGGCTGGAGACCCCCCAATGTTACACTGCAACATGAAGTAGTGGGACACCTAACTCTGAGCTGTAGTGACTTTTAGCTCTGAATGAGCATCCACACAGCTTGAACTAAACTCTTAATGTCAGATGTAAAAACAGGAAAGGTTTTCCTCAAGGCAGTTTATTTTATCCCAGAGACCTACTGAGGAATCTGAAGGGAGATATTGGAAGACTTTCATCTCCTTGGTTTAGAAAGAATTATGTGCATTTATTATGTTGTTTTATATATTACATGTGCAGCTGCATGTAGACATGCATGTATGGATGTGTGTTGCAGACATGGCTGAGGAGCATGCCAGCTAGTTCAAAAGGATGAAAGTGTTATAAGGTTCATCCTGAGGTCAGTCTGTTGCAGGCAAGTCCATCAGTATAAATTAGATCAGCCTGAGGGCACCTGTGAATTATTCTGGCTGGCACCAACCCTGAGAGTCCATATTATCAGCCAGAGATGATACGAGTGTCACTGTCTTTGCAACATTCCCTCTCTTGACAAGGGGTGAGTGGGTGGGTGGGGATAACTGGCACAGAACTGTGGGGACAGCCCTATTCTACCATAGCATCCTCATTCAGTGACCATCACTGGGACTAGGGAAGACATTACACATAAACCAGTTTAAGTGATCAGAAACGGGTTTAAACCTGTAACAAAAACAGTGTTTAGTGCACATAAACCGGTTTGAAAATGGCTGGAACCAGTTTGAGATAAACCTGGTTGAATGTAGTATCAGACTTAACTGATTTGACTCAAACTGGTTTATGCAACATCTGTCCCAGACCCCTTGCTGGTTTAAGATAAAACAAACTCCCCCAGCATCCCAGAATGCTCTCTGGGCTGGGTGGGGCTCTCCGCTCCACAGCAGAGCTGGCCCAGCCCCTCTGCTCCCTGGCTGGAGCTCTGGCAGAGATTGCAGGTACAGCAGGGTCTGCCTGGCTTCCCTCTGCCCTACCCCACCTCGTTGCTGGCTGCTCAAGCAGGAATCCTGCCCTCCTTTCCTCCCATCTCCCACAGCGCAGATCCCAGCCCCATGGACCCTATGCATGTGGTAAGCTAGCTAATGCTGAGAGGTGTCTGTGTGTGCATCTCTTCAATTTCACTGGGACAGGCAGACAGAGCAGTGACCGCTTAGGGCTTTTTTGAGCTAATCAACAGGTCAGCTGGTAAGCTATTTACGAAGAGTTTGAACTAATGGAGAGAGGCTATTGTTTTGCTGATGGGGTGATAAACACTGTTATCAGCTCCCTGCTGGCTTCCTCACCTATCAGTTTGCTGCAGACAGTATAAAGAAGTAGGGAGAGGAAAATTGAAAAGTTCTGCATCATCAACAGATGCATGTGCTGCACCTCCCCCCCCCTTGCTTCAGAGTGCTAGCAGGGGACTGGGGGCTGTCAACACTCTGACCCCTTGAGC